TGTAACACATATAAATAACTGAAGTAAAGAAATGCATTACTCTTTTTGATGTTTACTCTTTATATTTTGGGGGAATTTGAGAAATATTTACCTTTCTAGGTTGGAATATATCTACATATACTCTTTCTATGTCAGACTTGAAAATATATGTGCACTTAATTACACACTTATGTTATACATATATCAGAATATCAGCACCCTCTTCCTTTCCACACTAGCCCCTTGAACCTAAGGACATAATCTGTTTTACTTACAGGATTTGTGGCTACTAAGGCCTGGTTGTTGGCCACGGCAGTGAAGTGAATGATTGTGACAACAGAGTTACAAACGAAAGAGAAGAACAGATTCTTGTGCAAGGTAATCCTTTGGCAACTTAGGCTCCTAAAAGGCAAGAAAAACAAAGTGTGTTGACATCATAAAATGCTTTTTATTAATCATCATTCAAATAAGATAGATTCCCAATTTGTAGCAGCTGCTCTAATTCTGGAAAAATTATTTTTTCTTGCCAAGATTCACTCATTATAAAATATTAATTAGGGGAAACCTGTAATTCCTTAAAACCTAAAGACAGATTGCTTTAGTAGAGGGAGACATACATAGGGGTAAGAAATTTGCTTATACAAGGCCTTCACATAGTTTTTTTCTGATGATTTCTGAACATGATTAATATTTTAATTCATTATGCAAATGCAGAAACTGGAATTTAGTGAAATTAGATAGCTGATCAAAAATTGTGCAGCTAATTAATTGGCACACTTTTTGCCTGTCAGATTCTCACATGGGTAATATTCTTTTTATTAAAATGTATAGCTTGTTTTGTAAGATAGCCTGTGTGTTTTGTTGTGGTGGTAGTGATTACGCAGGCCAACTCTGAGAAAGATAGCATGTATTTAGAATAGATGAATTGATAAAAGCATAGATGTAGCAACCAATGAGATCTGTTCAGCTTTAGTGAATTGTTCTAATTGGCCCAACTGTACATAAGATATAAAATTGTGCCAACTTAATAGAGCTCCTGTTGTATAAAACAAAAGAGAAGAATTGGTTGTGTGCAGTTCATAGAGAAGTATATTTCAGGAAATAGTGTCATTGATGGTAAGTGACGCAGTTCTTCAAATTGAATTCACATCCGTGCTAGCGTGACTGTCATATATGACTGCCTTGACCATGCTCAAGCTCTACTTTCTTTGTTAAGCATTTACTCAAAGGCTTGTTACAGATAAAGTAATAGATAGATAAAATAATAGAATGCAATCTACCTAAAGCTGAATACTTAATGTCAAGTCCAAACACATATGTAGGAAGACACAAGGAATCATTCCATTACGGAGACATAAAATCTCATTTTATATGTTTTATAAAATTATGCAGTTAATACAGTCAACCTATATAACCCACTGCATATAATTCAAACCAAAGATTTCCACTTTGGAAACTTTAAAAAGATTTTTACTTAATTTTATCACTATATCCTCTTATCCTAGATAGACTGTGTGCCTAGAATATTAGAATTAAGATGCGATGCCAAGGTTTTCTATATTTAAAAATGCAAACTTTAGGTTATTATTGAATCTGTAATTTTTTCCAGCTATAAGTCTGTAATTCTATGTATGCTCTAGTATTTTACAAAATCTACAAGTTAATTCAATCCAAATCAATATGGATTGTCAGTACATGCCTTTTACAAAGGTGTGTGTTACTAGGGGAGACTTCTATGAAAGACTTCATGGACAAGATGGCTCTTGGAATTACTGTTAAATGTGAGTAAGACAGTCATGTACCAACAAGTACATGAAATCTGGCTGAAATCCATCAAAACAGAAACAAATGAGAAGAGCTAGTATTTTCATATTAAGGAGTTGTTCACTTTGACTTGACTTGGCGCTATATAGGAGGAGTGAGAGGGAGGCAGGAATCAAACCTTATCTCCAGAGTATTGATGATATTTTATGGAAAGAAGGATCTTTGAAAGTTTTAAACAAAAAAGTGGCACGATTCCTGTTGTTATTCGAGGAAATTCAACATCAAGAGAAGGACAGCCCTATTTTTGATAAAATGCCATAGCAGCAACATGATTACTTTGTGTTCACTGAGCGTGAAGAGAACGATGAATATGAGAAAAGGTCTAGTAAAGAATATTCTTTGTAAATCAGTTATATCATGTATGGCTTATTTCTGTAATTTGTCGATCTTCTATGATGAAAGTTATGAACATACAAAATTTGTCCACATGGTCTTATTTTAAAATGCCGCTTTGAGCTTACCCTGTGTCTATGGAAGTGCCAAGTATTGCTTTCTCATACAAATATGTACTTTTTTTGGTAACAAAATTTAAGTAACTTAGGTGCCATCACAGGAACAAAAAGTGTTTTGCTTAATTGGACAATTTTGCCCTTTTCTGCTGATCACACTTCTAAGTCCATTGGTTAAGACATACAGATATGTATATAAAAAACAAAAATTCCTAGTTTTTGAATTATGACCAAAAGACTGGGAAGGTTTGCTTAGATAGCAAATATGACACATTTGTAAGGAGTACATTGGAATCAAGGAAAACAAATACTAAAGAAGACTTTCAAAAACAGCAATGCATGATAGAAGTTAGAGCTGAATTATAGAAGCTAGGAACATAATACAAAGATTTGTATTACAATTATAACTTTATATTACTAATATTCACATGTGAAAAGATTGGAGGTAGTAAAATAAAATGCTAACTGTAGTTAGTCGAAAAAAATTAATTTTCTTTGTGTACACTTAAATGACCTTCTATGATGGTTTGTGTTTCTGTTTCTCTCAGAATTCCCTGTTTTCTCATGACCCTGCTCCTACCTCAATCTGTCTTGAAAGGGAAGTACTTAAAAATGAGTCGCTAGTATATATTCTCTTCTAAAGATGTGATTATTGTGAGTACAGCCACAAAAAAGTAGCCTCTTATTCTGCTACTATGTGATAAAATGTTGTACTGCATTTCCCTTTTCTAAACTTAAACAATGTCAATATGGGCAAAGCTTTGAAATAATAATAGAATTAAAATTCACTTGAAATGAACTTAATATTTAATATCAAAACAAAAAAATACTTAAGAAGATACACTAAGTTATTTCATTACAAAGACATACAAGTTTATTTTGAGTGTTTAAAAAAATAATCCCAAAAATATGGTCAACCTACGTAATCTACCTTATGTAACTCAAACCAAAGACTTCTGCTTTGGAAACACCGATATCCAGGTTAGTTGTTCAAATTGTAATAAACTGGACCATTGCCAAATCATTTCATTTTGGGTTGTGTAAATATGTCCTACTGTCTAAAGTATTAATCTTTTGCTTTAGTTTCTTCCATTTCTGCCTCCAGGCACTGTGCAACTTAAACAAATGCAGGCAGATGCTATCTGACATGTGATTTCCATCAATGCCTAGTGGTAAAAATGGCTCGGATTTTTCTAGTGATGCATATTGTTTTCTTCTAAACATATTCATTAACACATGTAAGTGGATTGGTACAAATAAAATCAACTTGTAAATGAAAACCAAATGTAATGGGTAAACAAATGGCTTGTTTAAATAAAACCCTAAAATATTTATGTATTTTTCAAATTTTAACTTGAAATCAATTTTACCTACTCTAAATTCTTAAATGTTCTTATTTTATCCTAATATTAAAATGAATTATTTTATAGGCTTAGGAAAAGCTTACAAAAATTCTCTACTTTCTTCGAATCTTATAATATCCCTTTCTATCCTAGCATAACCACAGAACAGAAAATGTGGTTTGTGGGTCTGGATTGTTTCCACTTCATATTCTTCACATATAATTACTCTAGAACACTTTTGAGCATGCAATTTTGGCAAGCAGAGTTATGGAGGCAGTTGGTGCAAGTTGTCAATAAATCATTACACTTTATATGTAATGACACTATGTCTTTTCAATTCTCTTTTTGAACAATTAGAAGCAGGTAGCATCAAGTCAGAATACATAGTTCGGAGTGTGACTCTAAACTCTGCTACATATGATAGTATGACTTTGGTCAAGTTATTTAAGATCTCTAATCTTCAATTTCTTCATCTGTATTTTAGGGATAACAATTGTACTTCATGGGCTTGTCTTGAAGATTAAATGAGATGTATCATTTTAAGTGCTTAGCATAACATCTAACCCATAATGAACCCTCAATATTAAGTTAGCTGTTATTTTTTAAAACATAATTATCAAATGGCTGATTTTAATCAATACTCTAATGGTTTTCTGTCACAAATAATAAAATAGCATCAAGGTCCATCTCAGTAATGTAAAACTGCCTCTATAGTAAGTATGTTTTAAGTAACTCAAAGAAACAGTAAAGAAGTATCATCTTTTTCTTACAAAATAGAAGAATTTAGCATTAGAAAGATAATTTCCATATGATGAAGAGCAAGACACAAAGCAATTTAAATTATCTTGCCAAGGAATTTCATCCTTCTTAGAGTTGTTACCAAATTATCAAGTTCACTATTATGCTGACCCCAAATATTATGCTGCTCCATCTTCAAATTTCTGCCACTGGCATGGACAATAGCCTTGCCTTTGGTTTCCATTTGTTTTTGACATGAGCTAAAGCTTTTCAAACTACTTTTCTTAATATTAATCATGAGGAAAACTAATCACGAAAGGAGAAAATGCATGCAATATAATAAAAGCCCAGTCTAGAAAGTGTCATTATACTTTCTTATTCACTTTTATCTAATTCACAAATGTTCAGATCTTTTCCCAAGAAAACACTAACCATGTATACGAAAGGAAAGCTCATGACAATCTAAACACTGCCAGAAAACAACAAATGTATCAAAAGAATAAGAAGTATGACTATCTTTTGTCCACTGCATGGATACTTGAGTTGATGGAATCACCTGATTATATATGACAAAAAGTAGACATAACCTCTATCAATAGCTCACTTTTAGAGGCTGCTGGTGACCCATTTGGCCAGATTACAGGGTGTCCCAAAAGTCTCTATACAAAGGAAAAATTTTCTAAAATTTTGTAATGAATATTTTGTAAATAAAGGTATATTTAGCTACGATTTGCCATTTTCCCTATGTATGGCAACTTTTGAGACACCCTGTACAAAGAGCTTTCAATCATTCAAATTGGAAAGTCCCCCTGGAGGAAAAATGATGTGTCTTCCTCCTGCTCCCTCCTCCCCTTGCCTTTGCCTGTGTGGGCTGCTTATTTAATGTAACATAGGAGTACTGGGCTGCCTACGGAACATTCATTGTCATTTTGTGTTGTCAACTGATTTCCTCCCATTTGTGAACTGTGATATGACTGCTCTTCCTGGTTTCCTAATGGGCAGGAAACCAAGAGAAGAAAGTCTTTCTGAACCCCTGTGATTCTTGGAC